TAGAGGCATAACCTGTGTACACTATAGTGCATATCTTAATTCTATAGCTTGACAAAATTTTACATCAAAATAAACTTGTGTAATTACTTACGAGATCCAGATAAAGAACATTTCTGTTAGCTTATTCTTAAATTGAACTCTTGATTTTTTCGGGAGCAAAGTCTGTGTCCCCAGGTCTAGATGAAGAGCAATACATTCCTTTCTGTAAGTTCTCTTCTGCCCCTAAAAATGTTTTTCCTGGCTTCTAAATTTTTCAGGCCATGAGTATATCGCCTACTTCAAGGGAAGCAGATATATCCCTGTATTCCAAATCCTATTCTGAAGCAATGGACTTGGCCTCGTGTGTTCTAAGATGTTTTGCAGACATGCCTTTACTTTTTTCTCTAAAGCATATCTAACTCAATTGTTTTAATTCTGTATCCATAATGGCTAACAAAGTTGAGTATCTTTTCTTGTGTTTATTGGTTATTTCAATTTACTGCTTTGTGAAGTGTCTGTTCAAATTATTTGCCGATTATTGAATGGGTTATCTCGCATTTCTTATTGATACATAAGAGTTCTTTCTAACTTCTGGTACAGCCCTTCTTAAAAGAACACTTTCCGAGGACACCTCTGAATAAGTTTTGCAAATAGCTCCGAGTAGAACAATTATTCCACTTCGTAGGATTTTGCTTTTCCTTCTCTATTAAACCAATCCTGACCTATTGAAAATGAAGTGAGGCCATTAAATAAAAATTGTACTTTATCCAAAATGTAATATATAAACATTGCATATACCTTTTTAAAATTAAACCTTATAATGACATCATGAATAATTAATAATAGATAAAGGAATCTGAGCAGTGTTCCATAATGAAGTTTGTTCATTCCAGAATAAAAGAGAGTAAAGAATCTATGTATTTATATGTTGTAAAGATATTATAAACATATCTGAGTAAGCAGGTACGAGTATAACCAGTTTAAGGCAGGAGAACGGACAACTAGATGCTATTGCATTGTTCCTGCACACCTTTGATTCTAAGTGTTTTTATAAAGGGAAACGATAGCTTCTGAGAAATAAGACTTTAGACTATAGATTATTTGTTTCATAAAATAGCAAGACATGTCAGGAAACTCAGCGTATCTCATTTAAATGGGCGCTGGCCTCAATAAAGAAACTATTTTCTCTCAAAATTCTAATCCTTTTAAACAATATATTTTGTTAATCAGCAAAAATAATCACAGTCCCCTTACTTTCTGTTTTCTTATTTGTGTGATATGGTGGTTGACACTAAGAAAACTCTCAGAAGTTCTGTGTTCGTATAAGTGTTAAAGAAAAAAATTGCAAAACGAATGTAAATATATTTAATCTTTGTATATAAGGACTGACACCTAATATGGATCGACATCATCTAAATAAAGTTTGAATAATAGCATATTTTTTAGAAAATTCCCCTCCTAGTCAGGAATATCAGATAGCTTTTAGTGTTTGTTAGTGTTTCTCTTGCTGTTGCGCTTAGTGTTATTGGCTTTTGTGCTTTAACCTTTCCTTGAATATCTAGCTCTCCTGCCAATCTCAATAACCGGTGGAAATCTGACTGAGGAGCTTTTTCTGAATCCTGTGATGGAAAACTTATAATGAGAAGGCATATTCTGTGTCATTGAGAATAAAGCTATCAATTATAAATAATCCATGGCAATAAAATAATGAGGATAATGTTTTGCCTTTATCTCCTACTTCTTGTGTTTTAGGATCCCTGTAGGACTCAATCTAATGTTGAGGGATAGGTAACATTTCACTGATTATTTCTGTGTACCCACCAATTCCCAAAGGGTTGTGATGGAGGCTTACTATTTTAAAATTGAAGGTACAGAGCAAAATTAATAAGCTTTTATTCAAGGAAGCTTTTCAAAGTTATTGATATAACATCTATTTCAAATTGTCGTGAATATGCATGGCACAGGAAAAGAAAGCAAGAATTAAAACGCAAGTTTTGCTTTTGATTCTTCTCCCATAACGAATAACAAGTACGTAAGAAAGTCATTAAAACACTTTGGGCTTTACTACACTCATCTCATTTTCAAATTAAATGTTTGGGAGAAAAAGCTTCCCTGATATTTTTTGCTTTATTATTTTAAGATAAAGTTTAATTTTATAAAGTTTAGATTAATAAAAATTTAGGTTTTAAAGGAGGAAATAAAAGAACTGTATCTATTGTGAGATATAGTATTATTAACTGGGTTTAATAATACTATAGATATATTTTTCACATATATCAAAAACAATATTGTTCTGTAAAAAGGATACAAATGGTAATACCAGTTTAGAAGCCCACGTTTCATTACTCATGAGTAGAATATGCTAGTTTTTCTCAAATTTGCACAGCTAGATGGAGGCCTTGAGGGAATAACATTTCAGGAGATAGAACATTGAGAATTCAGATTTGAAATGGAAGATTCCAGCTGGGCACAGTGACTCACGCCTGTAATTCCAGAACTTTGGGAGGCCGAGGTGGGTAGATCACTAGGTTAGGAGATCGAGACCATCCTGCCCAAAATGGTGAAACCCCTTCTCTACTAAAAATACAAAAATTAGCTGAGATTGAGTCACTACACTCCAGCCTAGGTGACAGAGTGAGACTCTGTCAAGAAACAAAAAAGACAATCCTCATACAACACCAAAGGGAATTAAGCTCTTCTCTTGTAGTTCAATGCACTTGAAATTTGCTTTGGATAGAGTGCAAAGCTGAGCTCAGGATTTCCCCCAATTTCTGTGACTGTTCTTATTCCCCTCATACTGTTTTGAAGTAGACAGCTTATTAAATTTTCTAAGCTGAAATTCTAATAGTTTTCCTATCCAAATTGTGTGAGTCTGGGCAAAGAAAAAAAGTTGAAAATACTAAGCAGATATTTGCATAAAGCTGTAACGTATCTGTAGAAACTCACTTAAGGGTTTAAGAGGAGACAGCAGTGGAATTATAATGTGAAATTGGTCTATGTTTACAGTAACTGTTGCTCTGTTCCCTGATAAGATGACTTTTGTGTTACTTTAAAAAATGCTACAGTGATCATCCGGTCAGTTCTCCCTACAGCTACTATTATTTCCGCAGTGTGCTGCTGTGGCTCACCACCACCTCTGCATCTCATTCTGAGTACTCTACAGCTCCCAACTTTCTCTTTGACACTGATTATCCTATTTGCTTTCTAATTTCTGCCTTTATCTTGTATAAAAGAGAAATAAAAAGATATTTGGCCTCAATATTGCTTCCTCCCTGTAATAGCTCTGATCCTTCTCTGCCAATGTCTTCATCCCTCATGCCAAAGATATGCCCACCCCTGTCTTGGAACCTGTCACTGGTTTTAACTTTCTACTTGGCTCTCTTACCAACTTACTGTCACCCTCCATATACTATAACATTCTGTCAGTATGCGGGAGGTAATCTTTTCTTTCATTCTGCTGAAAACACCCCAAAGAAGAAATGCATGCATTCTAAGGAAGAACATCCATATTCTTCATCGTCATGATGAATATTTATTGAATATTTATGCATGTACCAAGATAAGTAGTTTATACATGTAATGCTATCTCATCATCACAAAATGCTGTGAGTTAATTACTGTTTCTCTTATACAGATAAAGATAATGCAGCTTAGAGGGGTGAGTTTGCTCTAATTATACAGCTAGTAAGTGATGAATACAGATTTTGACACTGCATCTGTCCTTGCAACATAAACACTTAACCCCTATATTCTATTACTTAGAACTAAAGGAAAGTTTTCTTCTTTGGGTGTATTCTCTCAATCAAGCCTTTCCCCTGCTTATAAAATGGTCTTTTTTATTTTTCTAATTTTTCATAAACAATTTGATGAACTATCAATTTCTACCGTTAGAAACCCTTTTTCAGACACCTAGCATTTGAGAAAAGTATAAGTCTTTAGAAAGCGATTAATTCAATTCTCTAAGTTTTAATAATGCTCCAGTTCAAAAAGGTAGTAAATGGAGGAGCCAAGTTCCGAGTTCATGAAAATCATTGGATTTGACCTTTTGTGTTTGTGTGAGAGCCAATATACATATTTTTTTTTCCTATGGAGGCAAGTTTGTCTTAATTTTCTTTTCAAGGTGCTGTGAAAAAATGCCATTGTTTACCTTCACAATGTGTTCTCTGTATTCGTTATATAACTTCCAACACCTCACTTCCAACATTTTTGCTAAGGGAATGCAGAACGTGTCATCCATCTTTATTTATTTATTTATTTTTGAGATGGAGTCTTGCTCTGTTGCCAGGCTGCAGTGCAGTGGTGTGATCTTGGCTCACTGCAGCCTCCGCCTCCTGGGTTCAAGCTATTCTCCTGCCTCAGCCTACTGAGTTGCTGGCATTACAGGTGCCCACCACCATGCCCAGATAATTTTTGTATTTTTAGTAGAGAAGGGGTTTCACCATGTTGGCCAGGATGGTCTTGATCTCTTGACCTTGTGATCTGCCCTCCTTGGCCTCCCAAAGTGCTGGGATTGCAGTTGTGAGCCACTGTGCTCGGTCCCATCTTTATTTTTTAATTGAATTTCTATGAACTAAATTAAATCTTACATTAGATTTTATACATTAATGTGGGTCTTTCCATTATAGATGCTTTCTCTGATGCTCCTTTGTGATTTCTTTTTTTCTACTGTCAAATCAGAAAGTTCTTCTGGATGCTTTCCCAAAATAGTTTTTGGGTCATCAGGCAATTACATCTGTGTTATCTTAACCTTTTGTTGTTTGTCATTCTCGTCACAGTTAAGGAAGACAGCAGAATCCATATGCCATTTGACAATTGTTAGTAATAGAACACCGTGAAATAGGTGGTAAATCATATGAAGGAAATGTTCCGGTTAAAGCCACCTCAAACTCCAGAGGCCATTCCTGGGTAGCAGTAATGCTGTTAGTGTTCTGTATAAGCTATATAAGTGAGGATCCCCAGATTTCTCCAGCAGAGAGGGAAGTGCAAGTCTGATTTAAAGATGTTTTCTTTCTTTCTTTTAGCTACTTTGCTGGCTTTGAGCACAACCCAGGAAGACGTTCAAAACCAAGAAAACAGTAAGTCGGATATGATAATAGGTATCATAAAGTTTTGAGACATGTTAGCAACTAGACTGTCATTTTTTCTTCAGTAGTGTTTTTTATTTCCTTTTTTCCTAGACCATAGAGAATAAGACGTAACAGAATTACATGAAGATTTCAACTCTAATTCTAACATAGCAACTGACTAGACAATCTACTCAGCGTGTGACTTGTTAAATCATGATTCCATTTTATATTTGTCTTTTAAGTCTACTGATTTCTCTCCCGGTTACATACGATTCAGTTCTTCTAGTCAGTAGTACAGATTAACAACCACTGCACACTGACATTTCTAAGATTTCTCTAACCCGTTCTCAAGGGTCTTGCCTCATTACTTTAATCATGTGGTGTTGAAATTTGAGGGAGATATTTAGCTTATTTTGGACAGCATTTCTAATAGTTAATTGACATAATCAAAGGACAATTTCTTGTTGATACCCTTGTCACTTTGGTCAATTAAAATATAATTTTAGAATGTTAAATAATTAAATTGATCAAATAAGTTATTTTTTCTATAGAATTGTAGAGATAAGCCTTCTTCAATTTACTCATCTTAAATTAAGTATGTATTTATTGAAGATCTATTACATAGAAGGTACAAAAGGAACGTGTGATGTGCTTACTGCCTTTAGGTAACAGACCATCATCATGGGAGAGTAAGACTTGAATATACTTAATAAGGTAGTATGTAAAAGAAGTACTAAATTCAACATTTTTACTGATAGATCCTGTAATACAAACAAGTGAAACACACTCCATGGATCTGCAGGATTAAAATAATGACTAAGGTGTCTCTCCTTGAAGTGCTGTATGAGAGCAGAGTGTGAGTCAGTGGTAAAGGGGCTAATCGCAGAGCATTTTTTTAATCTGTGAAAAACATTTATTCTGAGGATCTAAAATCTGGACAGCGAGTACTGGACTTTAGAAAAAGCCTACACAAAATCGCCTCATTTCTTCCCTAACACATTAATCATCTATGAATAAGGAGGTGAAAAAGAAAACCCTTTAAAAATAACATTGCTCCAGTCTGTCTGCAAGTATGTGATTTAAAATACCCTGTTCTATTGAGGTATCGGCTGCAAACTTTGGTAAAATTAGAAAAATTTAAAAACCCTTTCAAAAAAAATACAAAAACGAAAACAAACAAATCCTAACGTTATATTCTTTCTTGGTAGGTATACAGTAAACTACAAAAAAGAATTCATTTAGAAAATGTGTCCATTAAAAAAAAAATCCCTCTTGTAAGTTCTCAATTTCAGAGCTAAAAAATTGAATTTAAATGATCTGTAAGACTCAGACTGTTCCCAAACACTCAGCTGGTGTCAGGAAGAACGGGATGACCACAGATTCTAGAATCTGGTTGGCATTTTCAACAATTCAGTGGAAGTTTGGAAAGTTACTTCCACTCTTTGACCAAGTATTGGTTGAAATGCATGCTGCCAAAACCATAACCAAAGGAGCCATTATGCTTCCAGAAAAATCTCAAGGAAAAGTATTGCAAGCCACAGTAGTAGCTGTTGGATTCGGCTCTAAAGAAGAAGGTGGATAGATTTAACCAGATAGTGTGAAAGTTGGAGATAATGTTCCTCTTCCAGAATATGGAGACACCAAAGTATATGACAAGGATTATTTCTCATTTAGAGATGGTGACATTCTTGGAAAGTATGTAGACCAAAATAAATCCTATTAAGATGGCATCAACATGAAACTGCCCATTCCACTGAAGTTCTGAAATCTTTCATCATGTAAATAATTTCCATGTCTTTCTTGTATACTAAACTAATGATAATGACAAAAATAGCAATGACTAAGTTATTAGACTCAAATAAAAAGAGTTAAAAGGAGCTAGAAGAAATGAGCAAGAATGGAATATACTTGAGTTATTTTTTCATAGTTATGTTTGCATCTATTGTATGTTGTGCTATTGCAATGAACATTTAAAAAGTAGTGCTTGAAATAAGATTAGTAACTATTGTAAATGTATCATTTGAACCTCTCCATCCCTATGAATTTTATTATTTTAAAAAGTACTTTTTCACATAGAAATAACATAAAACCTAATTTAAAAGGTGGAATATTTACAGGTCAACCTCAGGTGTCATTACAAAGTTTTCAGCTAAATTTTAAAATCATGTATTTAGTTTTAAGAACTCATTTAAAAATTCTTGTTACTTTAGTATTCCTTTTTGTAATTTACAGTCTATAGTTGGTCTTACATATTTTCAGTGTTATACATTACTTAAAAATAAACTTAAAGTAGGAAGCCACGTTAAGAACAATACAAAAGGACCATGAAACTTGTTGCAATTGATATCTAGAAACAGGATAATGTATAAAGTGGGTTGCATCAAAGCTATACTTACATTTACCACAGGGTGACACCCTAGCAGCGTGACAATAAAACTATGCTACATACAGAAGCACAATCACAATATGATGAAAACTAGCTCAGATTACTACAGGTTCTTTCTTTCAAGGAAATCATCATGAGAAACCAGGGTTTAAGCATGATGCTTAGCATTGTATAAGTTTAATTTTCCCCGACTCTAGTTACCTCAAGATTTTAGGTAATTGTAAGTAATTATCTAAAATAATTCTAAATAATTATCCAGGATAATTCTATATCATTATCTAAATAAAACTAAATAATTCTAATATCTAATTTTACCTCTTCTCTTGGCATCTGCCCTTTCCTCCTAGTCATATCTTCTGATTTTAAAGAGAAAGAATGAATTCTACCTAATCTTCAAGCCAGCTATATACCAGCTCACTCAGTCCTTGATTTGTAGAATCCTCTTTGTAATTACTCTCCGATCAAGAGGAGTCTGGCCCCCAATGTCATCTTTCTACTGAAACTAGCTTTCAAAGTTTCTAGGAGCTCATTGAGTATCAAAGTGAGCTTGCATTTGACACTAACTGCTGTTCATCCTCCTTCTTTGGGAACTTTCTTCTAGGGAGGTCTGGTGGCATTAGCCTCTTCTAAATTTGTTGTTATCACTTAGGTTGTTGCTCTTCAGTTCTATTAGTTCCTCTTCTTTAGTCTCTTTCTTATATGGTTGCATCCTCCAGAATTTTGCCACCAAAAGTTCTGTCAGCCAATCCGTTTTCTGTACAGGAGCCCAGAGACTATTTTATCAATCCTTTTCTTTGAGTTCAAGAAACACAATCCAACCAATATTGATTTCATAAAGTAGTGGGCTTTGGGGAGTGCACATCTTGTTCTTGAGTTTCCATTCAAGGTGTAAGGTTTTAGTTCCCAATGCTGAGAACACCCAAAGCAGATGGAAGGTGGCTTCCCCTCTGAATCCTTTTCAGACCCACCCTTCTATCTTTTCAACTTACCCACTGCCACCACTTGTCTTTTCTTGCATTTAATTCCCATGAGTGGTTCTGCTGTTGGGTAGGGAGAAAAAAGCGGTCTTGGAGCCTCCACGTGAAGGTGAAGAGCGAAATAACTCCAAGTGATGTATTATGTTAGGTCAGATTCTTCAGAAGCCAATCCTTAAATGGGACTATTTTTAAAAATATTTATTGAGGGCCCTCCCAGAGAGAGGATTCAGGAAACAAGGTAGATAATGAATAAAGCTAGGCAAAATGCGGTCTCATGTGCAGACTACCTTAGTCTAACCAAACAGAAAAGCCTGGAGAACCACTTGCTCCATAGAGTTGGTCCCACTCGAGGCAAGGAGGTCAGACTTTTATACATTCATGCCAGAGAACCACTGCTGAGGGTAGCTATCTGGAGAGTGGGGTAGCTGTGAGTTGCTAGAAGCCAATACTCACAGCAAGTCAATAGCCACTGGCCACTGAAGGGGATGAGGGCAGGACTCCTGTAATTTCTACTGTTGTTTTCTGATGGAGGATCTGAAAGAAAATACTTTTTTTCACTGCAAAGGTTAATCCTTGCAAATATCCTAGAGGTAGACACGTTCTGTCTTTGTCCTAGTATTTAGTCACTTTTAAAAACTCTATTTACATCTGGGAAACACAAAGTAGAAATTTCACAGTGGAGAAACTTGGCAGATACTATCTTAACTAAGTAATCAAGTTAACGTACTCAGTATCGAGACACAGTGACGTCAGGCACCCCCTGATGTGATGCAGGGAGAAGGGCTCTTCACCTCTGCGGTACTCTTTCCAAAACCCATAACTCCAGTTCAGTTATAAAAAAAATCAGGCAAACAGAAATTGAAGGACATTCTATGTAATAGCTGACCAGTACTCTTCTTAAGTATACAGGTCATAAAAGACAAGGAAAGATGGCGAGGCTCAAACAGATTAGAGGAGACTAAGAGGTTACAAATAAATGAAATGTGGGATTTTGCATTGAATCCTGGAACAGTAAATGAACATTAGTGGACAAACAGGAAATTTGAATAAAATCGATAGTGTATTTAAGAGTATTCTATCAGTGCTAATTTCTTCATTTGGATAGTTGTACCATGGTTATGTAAGAGGCAAACATAAAAGGAAGGTAAGTGAAAGGTATACAGGCACTCTGTATTATCTTGGCAACCACTCTGAAACCTAAAATTCAATAACATAAAGGGATGTTCATGTCAAGCATAATTTTACGGTCCATATTCACTGAGGCAATACATGACAAATGGCTGTAGTATGGCAAACAGAGAAGAGCTACTTTGTTTTCCAGTAACTTACTATCATAATTGCCTTAGAGTGAGAGCAATGTATTATCAAGTCACTTTAGTTTGGGCCAGAAGAAAGCACTTACTTCATACTTGACTCTCCATTTCCCCTAGGTGTTTGGCAAGACCAGCATGCGCAATGGCAAGGTGAGATCCTGGTTATCTCTTTTTCTTCTAGCATTTGTTTCTCTAAGTGGAATACGAGATTCACTGCATTTTTTTTTTTTTTTTTTTTTTTGGTGAATGATATGAAATAGAGGACAGATGTTGATGATCAGAGAGCTTATGCTTGAGAATTATGTTAAGTTGTAAGTAATACAATTCTTAACTAACTGTGGCTTAAAAAATAGAAATGTGGAGGTCGACGGGAAGTGTGGAGGTCGACAGGCTCCTGTATTTCAGCTCCTCCATCTTCTATTGGGTGCTCCACCCATTGCAGGACGCCCAACAGCCCTGCCTCAACTTACTGAAGACTGTGAGGGTGCTCCAGTGCTGTGACAGCCAAATCAGCCAGCAAGGATTTCCAAAATGCTCCCAGTTGAGAACCACTGGGCACGTTGCTCCCCTGAACAAAATCAGAGTTGTATTAACATGAAAAAGGGGAAAGAAAACTCGAGCTAGCAGTGCCTGCCGGAGAAGATGATGACATAGAAAATGAAGGGCAGAGTTAAACTGAAAAGGAAAAAAACAAGGATGAAAAGGTTATATTTTTTTACTTTTACTCTCAGGTCAGGGACTGACTTGCATTTAAAATTAGTTACTTAGTACATCGTGCAATGTGCAAAAGTAACATAGCATAATGTACCTGCCACCTGAAACTGTGACCACGAAACACGTAGCAAAGAGGGAGTGAGGGAAAGGAAGGTGAGAAGTATCACTATCAACTGATAAAAAAGCCAGGGTTGGAGAATAATTACCCACATGGTAATTGAGAGGATTAAATAAACTCATTGTGAAAGAAAATGTTACAGAAGAATGAACTGAACTATGCAGAACACTTTGTCAGGTTTTTTTTTCTGCAGAATTAACCAGTCTGATGAAAGAAAACATTATAATATGTATAGCTCTTCCACGAAAAGGATTGTAAGCTGCTCCAGTTCTGTTACTCTCCTATCAAAGGAAACTATGGGTTGTAGAGAAAAGATAAATGCAGTTTTAAGCTGAACCTGTTAGTCCTGGTGACATTGGATCAGTGCTTCTTCAATGACAGTAAATGTGAACAGATAACATATACAGTGTGCAAAAACTTCTGAAAACAATTGACTTATGTAGATGACATAACTAGGGTTAAAGTATTAGGGACCCTTAGCATCACAAGACACCTTTAGGAATCTCCTTTGATTTAATTACTCTCTTTAGCAGTAATCTTTGTCTAATATACTGTAAATTTTACTAGTTTATCTTTGTTATCGATCTTGTCCACTGCAAAAGAGAAAGAACGTTTTTGTTTTTTCAATTTACTACTCTGTCTGCAGTGCTGACAACTCTGGAATACATAATAGGCGCTCAATAAATATAAGGGAGTAGATGAATGAATTAAAGCTATCTGTACCTGTTGATCATCCACAATTTAGATGTCCTATACCACATTCCAAGTAAGCTTACATTTGAACACATCTGGTAATTTAAAAAATGTATACATGTATGAAAATATTTTAATAGTATACAGCACTGCAGTAAAACTCTATTAAAATAGAAAAACCTGAGTTGAACATCTTTCCACATTATATAAGTAATTTCTTGGTCCAAATTTATTTCAAATGCATATATTCCAATTAAACATACATATACTAAATCTATATATTTTCTGAATATATACTTTCCAAATATGTATATAAATATAATATATATTTTCTAAATGTATATATTTCATACATACATAATGTATATCAAAGTATTACAATAATCCGATTAGACCTGGTCTAGCAGCCAGTTTATAATTACACCTTAAAAATGTAGTTTGTAGTGCTTTATAGTGCTTTTAAAACATGATTTAAGGAGCAAAATCTGCTAACAGAAGAGCATAATTAAGGAGATTATAGACATATCTTTTAAAGAAATTAAATTTCTGGTAGAAATAAGAGAAGGTAAAAAGCTCACAATTCCTTTTTTCTTTCATAGTTGAGGGCAAGCCGGGTACGTGTCCTGAATTTATAGAACCTTTTGACACAAAGCAACAGAGCCACAGTCAAGACTCAAGTCAAAAGAAATTCAGACCCAGTTTTGGTAAACAGGCCTCTAAGCAACAATCTAAGATTCCCACCTACTGTTCCGGGGTTCCTTGTAGAAATGATTACGACTGCAAAGATCTTATGAAGTGCTGTGGTACCTTTAGGTGTGGCCTGAGGTGCACACATGCTCTTATGGTTGACCCTGTATTTTTCAATTCACCGCGACAATCTAAGGCATAAGTAAGTATCAGGCAACATGATCTCCTAATCAGTTCTCTGACTCTCTTATCTTAGAATACTTTCTGTATCTTTTGCCTCAGTATTCTTCCAACCCAACCTCGTATTTCATATTCAATTATAACTATAGTATAGCATTTATAGTTAGAATGTTCTAGTTCAAGCACTGTGGAAGATAGTGTGGTGCTTCCTCAAGGATCTATAAATAGAAATTCCATTTGACCCAGCAATCCCATTACTGGATATATACTCAAAGGATTATAAATCATTATATTATAAAGACACATGCACATGTATGTTCATAGCGGCAATGTTTACAATAGCAAAGACCTAGAACCAACCCAAATGCCCATCGACAATAGACTGGATAAGGAAAATGTGGCACATATGCACCATGGAATACTGTGCAGCCAAAAAAAATGATGTGTTCATGTCCTTTGTGGGGACATGGATGAATCTGGAAACCATCCTTCTCAGCAAACTGACACAAGAACAGAAAATCAAACACTGCATGTTCCCACTTATAGGCAGTTGTTGAACAATGAGAACACATGGACACAGGGAGAGAAGTATCGTATACTGGGGTCTGTTTGGTGGGGGGCAAGGGAGGGACAGCAGGGGAGTAGGGAGGTTGGGGAGGGATAACACGGGGAGAAATTGCAGATATGGAGAAATGCCAGATGCAGGTGATGGGGGGACGGAGACAGCAAACCACATTGCCATGAGTGTACCTATGCAACACTCCTGCATGATCTGCACAGGTACCCCAGAACTTAAAGTGCAATGTAAAGAAATGATCTGGAATATAGTCCACTTTCTCTATGACATATAAAAGGGCATGCATCTCAGAAGAAATTCTACATATATGCCACCTGATTTCAATTATTTATTAATTCAATGAACATTTATTAGATGCCCACAATATGTCACACACTGAGAATGCAAAGACAGATAGGACAGATGCAACCCCTATAGTTATGCAGTTGATAATATTAGCATATGTTCTTCATTCTTCACTAATAACCAGAACTTTTCCTCTCTTTTATTCTCTTCTGCACCCCTTTCTTTTTTAAGGAAAAGAAAGCATAAATCTCACCCCACTTAAAAGTTAGGCATCAGTTTTTAATACTTGATTGAATTATTTTCTTCTCTGTTTTCCTCCCAGATACTGGATGGAGAAATAGATTCAGATGGAGGCATGATTGAGCTTATTTTTCTTGACTCATCTCTACCCAAACATTACTCTCTCAAGTGTTGTTCTTAAAATCTTCATATTAAAAGCTCAGCATCATCTATTTTTGAGCTCCGTGTCTCATTCAGGGGTTTTAATTAATTTAGAGTTCTAAGGGTACTGGCGATAACTGGATTAGCAAAGCATATGGTCTTCTCTGCTGTTCAATTGGGATACCTATGGACCAGTGGGGGATCCCCAAAGTTTCTTTAGAATATGAAATCTAAGGGATTCTGGGAAACATTCAGAAGACACACATCTCAATTTAATCATCGAAATGGCCTGCAGTTAATTCTGAAAGTTCACATGCCATACAGCTTCTTTGTTCCTGTTTTGTCTTGTATGTAATTGGTATTATTTTAATCTTTCATTTTATATTGATCTGATCTTTTGCTATTTGTTTTGGGGAAATATATGGAAGAAATCCATGCCATTGACATTTACTAATCTGCTTAAGTTAAAGCACAAAGTAGCTTAGTGAGATCCATGGGAGCCATCTCTTATGATGTCAACTTTAATATGACACATTTTTCCCATTTGTATAATATCAACTTGTTAATTTAAGAAATAATTAATGAACTTTAATGAAGCCTACCTTTGCAATGAAGTACTTCATAATATGGCATGCACATACATGAATCATACGCATAGTAACTTGTATGAATTCAAAGAACAAATAAATTGCTGGTATAAGTTATGGCTGACTATACTGGCAAATATTCTCATTTGTTCTTACATTTTACTCAGTGATGGGGAAGAAGAAAATCCAGAAAGAAGAATTTTACATAAATATAAGTATGTTTCTTTTAAACTTTTTCAAAGAAAACTTGTTAGAAAAAAAGGAAAATTATGTTTACCAAAAAATAGTAGCCAAAAGTTGCATATAGCTCAGCATTGTACTATGTTGCTCAAGGATTGCATTCAGTATACTCCTCTGCAAAGCTGTAATTCTGATTTTGTTTTACTGAGTCAAGGAGTAAGAAAATCATTGTGTTCCTGTAGCACTGAAATAAAAATGAGGTTGCAGCTGGAGTGATGAGATGAAACTAATCTTGCTGTTAGTGTCTAACTGGCCCTAAGGGTTTTAGGCACTTTGAATATCAAAAGATAGGTTGATGATAATGTTAGTGAAAAATTGGAATTGACCACTTTAGTTGCTTACTAAGTAAGACTACTTCCTACCGCCATGAGCTATGTAGTTTAGCTATCAACTTTTACAATATATTTTTATTTATTTTGAATTCACCAATCAATATATCAATTCATTCTCAGTATAAACATATTTTTAAAAATTATAAATAAACTAAATTCCCTCTTGACTTACCTGGAAATAACTACTATAATTTATTTGAATTTTTATCCAAATGGGCCTTTTGGGGTGTGTTCATACATAAACATATAATGTTATTTTGTGTACTTAATTAATGCATCATAGCATATCCATTATGTCCCAGATTTAATTTTTTACTTAACAATATGTCTTGGAGATAATTTCATGTCAACTTATAAAGAACTGCCTCATTCTTTTTCACTGCTGCTTAAGATTTTATACAATAAATATATTAGAATTAACTGCAGTATGCCTCTGCTGGGAGCCATGTATGTGGCTATAATTTTTTTGCTATTAAAAATAATTTTTTTGTTTAATAAACATTCTCAAAATTCTTGAACATTCTCAAAATTGAGTTTAGTCAGTCCTAAAGGGCAAAAGAGAATTACGAAACCTGTAACTCTTAGTGGTTCTCAATACTAATATTGACTGATTGATTGAGTCAAGCCTCCCGTGTTGCCCAGATAGGAGTGCAGTGGTGTGAACACAGCTCACTGCACCCTCCACCTCCTGGGCTCAAGCAATCCCCCTCCCTCACCCTCCTAAGTAGCTGGAATTATAGGCACACACCACCACACCCAGCTAATTTTAAGTGTTGACCAGGCTGGTCTTGCACTCCTGGGCTGAAGAGATCCTCCTGCCTCTGCCTCCCAAGTACTGGGACTATAAGCATGGGCCACCATGCTTGGTCCAATAATGTTAAATATAAACCATCTCCTTAATTTTGACATTAGAATCTCTTGTGTCAGAGTTGTAAATAGCTTCTGCCACAACACAAATGATGTGCTTTTGATGGTATGTCCCAAATATATTTTCCTTTTGCAACCTGATATATGGTATTGTCTGGAGAATATTCAATATGTACGTGAACAGAGAATGTGTTCTTTCTTTATTTTATGGAGTCTTTCATAAATATCAGATCAGGTTGGTTGCTAATGTATTCTATATGCTTACAGATATTCTGTTCTATAAATCACTGAAATAGAATCATTAGACCCTTAAACAAAGATGTCTTATATACAGTCCAAAGAATATTTCTCTGGGGTGTGGAGATATTCTACAGTGAGGCAATATATCCTTCAAGAGTTTTGACATTTTAGCATATCCATATATAAGCTTTTGATTGAAGATCTTATCACAGCATCTTGACAATCATTGCCTGATGCAGTCCATGGACACGTGTCTTTTGTGGAGAAATTTTCTTCGATAAAAAATTAATAGTTCAATTTAGGCTTCTTATTTTTAGCCATTTTTTACATAAATTTTCCCTCTTGTACTTATAGATTGGCCTTCATTCATTGATTGTTATTCTCAAATAATCTTTGAACTCACTGTGACAATGTATTTAGCCATACTATATACCTTAACTGTGATTATAATAAGATGATTCATAGAATTCCACAGCATTTATTAAGAACTGTCACTTTACAAAGTCTTTGCCAAAGGTAATACTTAGTTGGATGATCTGAGAAGAACAGTCTAACTAGGATTATGAGAATGAACCAGCTGCTTTTCATAAGGATGCAAATAACAGCAAGATGCTATTACAGTTGTTTTGAATTAGTCACACATCTTTGCATCTGGAAATAGGATTTAGAACTATGAAAATGCCCTCTACTCTCAATAGTTGATAGTAGGATATTAATTTCCATTTGTTCTGAAACATGTTAAAAAAAAAAAAAAAAGCAACAACACACCAACTGTAAAGAAAGGCAGAGTGAGAGAAGAGAGAAACAGGGAGACACAGAAAAAGTCAGAGACAGAGACAGAGATAGATCCAGCCAGCTGTACATGAGATTCCCTAAATTACACTTACAGATATACTAAATAAGTTATAGGAGTCATTAATCACATAAAACATGAATGCAAGAACTGAAGTTACCTTAGGAACATCTTATTTTTGTTTGTCCTAGAAAAGCATAGTTTCTCTTCAGATCTGTTTATGTTGTTAGAATTGTCTAACTTTTAGGATACACATTACTTTCCAAAGCACCCTTAGAGATGCCTGTCTTAATTTATTGTTCCCTAGTATTAGGATAAATGAATGGCTTGAAGGGTAGATTAGAGCTAGAGACTCACCAAAAATCACAGCTAACTCTGTCTCTGACATAAAGTAGCTGGAGGTGGCGATGAGAAAGCCCAAGCAGTAGGCAATAAAGAGGAGAAGGAAGGAAATGACAGCTTTCAGGGCTCTCACATGGGCTTCTGTGCTGGGGTCTCTGCACCCTGTGGCACTGAGCCGCATTCGCCTTATATGTCTATGCAGGGAGAGGATCAAGAGGAAAAAAGACATCAGGGACACAGAGAAGGGGAGCAGCGTTACCAGGTTGAGAAATAACTTGGTAGAAGCATGTTGATCTTTATTTACTCTGCAACTCCAAGTTAAATTTGTTTTCCTTTTTGCCTTCACACAACGCCTGAAATCAGCATTCAAATTCTCAGTGGCTGGAAGGCTAATAAACACAGAGAGAACCAAACACCCCGGTAGAATCCAGAAAATCATCCTGTCAATTCTCCACTTCATCCAGAGGAAAACTGGGTGAAAGAAATTAGCTATCTTGAAGAAATAGTAAATGCTGAGGCAGGTTGCAAACCAGATATTTAAATGGTTAGTTAGTGTCCAGAAGAAGTCAATGATTCTCATTTGTTTACCGGTGGCATAGACATCTGGATACAGCACCAGTGTAGAACAATCTAACAGTATTATGCACAATAGACAAATTCTGGATATGGCCAGACTTGTGAAGATTAAATCAATGGAGGCAATCTTCCTCTTCTTTACCCAGTCCATGCAGTTTACCAATCCAATGAATGCATTCCCTAAGATCCCGACTGAAAACTCTCCAGCTGCTAAGATCAGTAAGGCAGTCTGCACTTTATCTGTCATGTTTAAATAGAGAAATAGGCAATTCGTTTCTAGTTGACCTGATGGAGTTTGACTTCTACACCTGCTTCTTAGATTTTGATGTAACTTTGTTTATCTCTTCATTGTAGTCTGTCTTGTGATGGAGACGGGAATGATAAATGAAAACTGCAGCTATCTTCATTAAATCCTAATTAGTCTTGACAAACAATGTGGTTGGCAATCCTTGGCCTGGCCACTGTATGCCCATTTACCTACTCCGCAGGTTGTATTTTTCCACATATGGTTAATTTAGACTGAGCTACTGTTTACTAAGATGCAAATTGAGTCAGTTCCCTTTCATAGTCCTGTATCGTCTTTCTGAGGCTAAGGCATATGCATTCTGAATTCATTAATTTGTGATGTATACTAGTAACCTCAATAGAGTTGCTAGATTTAGCAACTAAAAATTCAGGGCATCCAGTTAAACTTGAATTACAGGTAAACAAATGAATAATTTTTTAGTGTATGTGCCAAATTATATAACATCAGTGCTTTCAGGAAGTATTGAAGTTCAAATTGGTTGAGTGTTCCATATTTTGTCTGGCAAACCTAAACATCAAGAATTTGGTAGCAAGTATAAAGTTGGCAAAAATTGAAATTCTTGGAAGAATATTTATTTTGTTGTGTGTTACTATTGATAATTAATTAAGAATCCAAAATTTGGCTTGATAGTGAGTTATATATTTTCAGGAAATTTAAAAAGTTAACACTAAATGTAGATTATTTTGCTCCAAAGAAACTTTAGCTTATTATTCTGGCTGTGCAGTGAACAATTTTATGGCATAGTGTCTCTTTTTTTCTTTTGAGCCGGAGTTTCGCTCTTGTCACCCAGGCTG